GGAAGCGTGGCAATGGCATGAGGAATATTAAGATAAGGTGTTGTGTGTCTTTTTTTTTTTTTTTTTAAACGCTAGTTTCCCAAAGCATATTCCCATTGGCATTTTTTTATAGGGAGTTTTGGATGCAGTCAATATTTATTTATTCCCCACCCTCATCATAAAATAATTTTGTAATGTTTCTAGAGCTACTTTTGTAGTAAAATGAGCTCTTTTATTTGGCAACAGAAAAAAAAAAAGATGTAATGGCACAAGTAGACCATAGTAGCAAGATTATTTAATTTACCCAGGCCTCTGGGATTTGAGCTGTGCAGAGAGGGGGCTTGCTTGGACGTCTTAGTCCTTCCAGAGTCCCAGCAGACACATGAGGACAAATGAGAGTTAGCTTCTGATTGCTGGGTGGCTGCTCGGCAGCCCATGTGTGTGGCCACATCTTCAGCTGGCATGAATCAGCACAGCTTCACAGAGGTTGGATCATAGAATAATTAGGGTTGGAAAAGACCTCCAGGATCATCTAGTCCAACCACCACCCTACCACCAATGTCACCCACTAAACTGTGTCCCTAAGCACCACGTCCAACCTTTCCTTGATCACCCCCAGGGATGGTGACTCCACCACCTCCCTGGGCAACCCGCAACCCAAACCAATGCCTGACTGCTCTTACTGAAAAGAAATTTCTCTGAATTTCCAACTTGGATGAGCAGTGCTCAGTGCTGGGTGGCCACGCTCTTCTCACTCCATCCCATCACACTGAGTGATGTCCGGCCCCTTGTTGGTGAATGAGCTCCTATCTGAAATGAACTAACTTCAGTTTTTAAGCAGCAATACACGAAAAGCGAGGGAAGATGCTAAAAGCCCCATGGGGTTGTACTTGAGGTGACGTGTATAGTCTGCCAAACTGAAGTCACTCAGTTTGGTTGTAAATAAAAGATGGGTCTCCTTTTTCTAGTGCTAGTCCTGGTAATCTTTTAGCTGTAATATTGAGTATTATACTACTTTAGTTAAAAATAATGAATCAAGAAAGAACTTAAAAACCTCGACCAAAGTACCATCTTGGCAACTTCATAACAGAAACTAAAACTCTTTCCACTTTGCGTTTAGCAAAGTTTCTGCTCAAAAACCAAAGCATAAAAAGCTACTTTCAGTTTTCGTGGGAAGATCACCAAGCTGCCTAGCTGCAGCAGCACCTGCTTCTGGCTTGTTGGAGCGTGGCTGCCACAATCCCAATCTGCTGACCTCAGAGAGGGGGAGAATTGCAGACTGAATGAAGGGAGGAGGCTCTGTGGCCTCCTGCTTCATGTCTCTGAAGAAGTTTGTGGAAATGTTCATGCTATTTGTTGTTGAAAACGCAAGGGAGAAGGAGTAGGAGGGCCAGTATTTGTTGCAAAACAGCAAGAAGAGTAAAGGAGCAGGACCCAAAGGACATGCGAGTGCCAGAGCGGAGCTGCAGGGAGGAGGCTACAGGTAACATTGAGCTGTCATTTCCACACGTATCAACAGTTTCACGTGCCCAACCACCGCAGGAGGGAAGTTGTCAGAAGGAGGTGATGATAACTGCAGATAGAGACAAGGTTAGATTAAAATGTGCAGATTGCTTCTAACTCGTAGTTTTGTACCCGAGCTTCCAAGCAATGTCAGTTGCCAGAGGGCAGGTTGCAAGCACTTAGCTGAAAGCAAGCTGAAGGTTACTGATGTCTTGAGGGCAAAAATATGCAATGAATTACATAGAAAAGCAGTTACCCTAGCATAAAATGGCTTGTATGAGTGATAATTAGTTGTGTGTATGGAAAAACTGCAAGTTCTTATCAGCCATTGATACCGGAGGCAATAAGGTGGCAAGTACTAAGGTATGATGACAAGAAAAGCCAAACCATTAGCAAACAAGGTAATCAGGTGGTTTAACAACTGCTTTGTAAGGTGTCAGAAGTAAGCTGGAATAAGTTGATGGAACCGTGTTAGTGTACAGCTGTCAGTGAGGCGCTATCTGCTTATGCCAGACCTTCCAGTAAGTTTTTGCTGAAACGCGTTGCGGCTTTACAGAACCACCAAAAGCCTTGAAATGGTTAAAAGGCTATGAGGGATCCATGGAAAAAAATGTTTCTGGTAAGATATAGCAGAATAGTTAACTTACCTGGAAAGATGAATTAGCAATTGGCAGTGGTATCTCAGAACTGTGAATAATTGTGAAGCAGAACTTGAGGGCAGAGTAGTCCCAATGGTTAATCAATGGATTTACCAAAAAGTGAGGAACTTGATCAGTCAAATTGCTAGTGGCACTTGGTGCTCCCACATCCATGTCTGCTCATGTAGTGGTTGGATTTCTGTAAAAACCTCAGGTACCACATAGGCAGGTGTCTCAAGTGGAAGTGATTCTTATAGACACAGATGAGTTAAAGACAAAAACCTGTCTGCAGGGCAGGAGAGAGTTATCAGACAGTGGCTACCGAGTTAAAGTCTTGTCTTTCTGTTATCACCACCTATTTTTAAAGCAGAAAAGATTCTTTATCTGAAATCACCGTCAAGGGGATGTTTAAAAAGATGTTAATCATTTTTTTTCAAGTATCTGTTGAAAACAGAATAAGCATTAGTTTTGGTCTTCTGCCATTTCTGGCCATTTAACCAGCGGACCTGAACTGTTTGGCAGCAGCTCTGCAACCTTCGGAATATTTGCCTCTGTGGTTTTTGTCATTTTTTCACTTTCACATGCTTGGATAGGTTTGGGTATTTATTACAGCATATTGACATATGAAAAACAAACCATTATTTGAATATGTTTGAACTGCATATGAATAATTTTCATATATATATATATATATATATGAATAGACAATCTGGTATCACAGTACAAGTATTCTGCTTTTTGCTTTGGACTTTATTTGTCCAACCGCTAAATTAGTCTGAGTCTGCAAGTCTGCAACCTTTTGTGCTCACTAGGTCTGTAAAGTAAACTTACAAATGTGTGACAGTATATTTGCTGACAACAAATAAAACATAATAGTTCCATATGTTGAAAAAAAATCCTTTGAAATCATGAATTTATTGGGTAATAATCCTGATGAGTAGTGTGTTCAGTCTGGAATCGGAGGGTAGGTAAGAGGGGAATCTGCCTGAGAGAAAGAAGACAGTGGGATTCACGTTTTTATACATACCTTCATTTGGCTTTGTCTGATGTCTAGGGGCCTGATAGTGGAACCTGGGTGTTCTCAAGCATTTTTTTTCTTTAGTGCCTCACTTCTAAGGTAACTTTGATGCAAATGGAAGGCACCTCAGCATCCGTTAAAATCCTCAGAACAGGACTTAGTGTAAGTCTAAGTTTTCTGAAAATAATCATTAAATCATAATTAAATTTATATTGTTTATGTCTTCGCTTAATTTTGTGTGATCACATGCTGACTGTTTTGTCTTCCAGGCAAATTTTCTTGGTAATGTGTCATCTGTTTGTGTGTGAAGAAGTGTAAAATGACTAATTCTTTCTACTATTTACATTCATAAAGCAACAATTCCAGCTTTGTTCTTGAAGCAACTGCCAAAAGCCCTTCCATGGAAACATGAGAATGAGAGACATTAAATCATCGGTCCTAAGTATTTGTGTGTTAGTGGTGACATAGGCTTTGCATAATGTAACAAAATTACCTTGACAAGATTGTCTTTCCTGTGAATTTAGGATAGCTTGCACCATTGTTACACCTGCTAAGGTCTGGAAGTTATAAATAGATTTGTGGGGAGAATATATTCTTGCTTATGTATAGATGTCAGTATTCATTACATCTGCAGTATTTTTTTTGAACACAATGAAAAGAAGAAGGAGTAAGGTGGGAGAATTTACACAGCTTATTCATGTTGTTGGTACCTGAGGGTAGCACGTTCTGGATTTCTTCACTGTAAAGCTCAGCAGTAGTTTACAGGAGTCTAAAAATCCAGGTTGTGGGTCTCAGGGGATGTCTGGGTTTCTCTGGGGCAGTTCATGTGCTCTGGAAGCGTGTCTGTTCAAGCCAGGCATTTCTGCTGGCTGTCTTCTGCTGGGGGCTGTCAACCTTCAGGGCCTTCTCTGGGGCTTCCAGCAAGTAGGTGGTTGAGGCTCCTGATATTAAAAGCACAGACACCTAGAAATAATACATGAGCTTCTGGTTAGCCCTGTCATGTCCTCATGTGGTCATACAGGCATGAGGATGTTAGCAGGCTGAGGGGCTCACCCAACATGGAGCAGTGGGCTGTAAGGGCCTGCAAGATGGCCTGCCCCTGTGGAGCTGAGGAAGAGTGGCTGGCCAGGGAGCGGTGTTTCAGAGGAAATTGTACATCCCAGACTTCAGTTTACTCGCTGGCAAGAAAGAGTGGCTTGGTTAAGGCACTCATTTTGTGTATGTGAAGCAGCTGCAGGAGCTGAGGCCACTCCTGTGCGTGTCCATGCTCCGTGTTGGTGGTGGAGTTGGCTGGCTGCTCATGGAGGTTCTGCGGGCATCTCCTGCTGCTCTGTGCTGCCCAGCAGATGACTTGTGTTGTGGCAACTTACCTCTCTGCTCACAGAGAAATCCTCATTTACAAAAATAGCTGCTAAAAGTATCTTGTACATGGCTGTTGGAAACTTCTTCATTGCTTGGTTGCCTTTTAGAAAGCATCTGTATAAACCCTGACGTCTTTACTGGGATTTTAAGAGGAGGGTGGCTAGGACTTCTTTTGGATAGTTACACAACGCAAACTGTACATGTAAATGTAAGTTGTACATACTGGGGTTTACAGTATTTAAATTTAAATACCTGTTTCTATTTAGCAATCAGAGGTAACTGATTGCTTTATGTAGTGGCCAAGAACTGCTTGTTTTCTTGGGCTGTCTTCAACACTGCTCAGAAATTAAAGCAATTTCAGAATTTATGAAGGACAAAGAAGTGGTGTTCTATGATTCAGAGAGCTAATTAGAAGTAAATGCCTGTGGGTATTGGGCTTTTTGCCCCCCACTTTTTAGGAGAATTAGAGAAAAATTTAATAATTGCTTTTAATTTTGCAGGCAGCCAACATCAAGCGTGAAATGACCTTCCCTGCATTTCAACAGGAGGATGTAAAAAGTGACATCAGTCAAAAACTGCCAGACCAACAGTTTCTCCTGTTCACCACAAAGGAGGAAGATTTAAAAACAGCAGAGACCAAAAAACTGAGCAGAGTTCATGAGTATGAAAAGGAAAACACTCGTTCTGTTTGTCTTCTTGAACAGAAGCGCAAGGTTGTTTCTTCAAATATTGATGTGCCTCCAGCAAGGTAGGGAAAGTTGTTTTTTGTTTCTAATTTTTTTTCCTACTGGGATATTGAAGGCAAGTTTGACAAGTGGTACTATGAACTATTAAGACTACTAGTACTCACGTACAAGCAGTCCAATGTTGATAGCAACTCCTCTCCTTGAAAGATGTGCTGCAAGTTTTACAGTAGTAGTGGGAGCTGAGACTGTCTGCAGTGTAGGACTTTGTATTGCTTTTGCAATGGTTTTGCTTTTATCATGTGCTGCAACTGAAGTACCCCCAGAAGGGGACGTGCCTTAACAGGAGGAGATTGTTGACCCAGCTTCAGCATTGCCTGATAAGTAATCTTCTAAATGAGACTTAAAATCAGCTTCTGGCAGTGTTATTTTTTCATACCTACAGCCAGCTTCTACTCGTGGGAATGTGCAATGCCTTATTCGGGATAGTGAGGTTGTAGTATGTTATTTTCTTTTACATCCTTCTGTAGGGGTAGAGCTGGGTCATGACATGGTCTATGAAATGAATTAATAGAAAAAAAATGGCATAGAGAAATTGAATTTCTACAAAATAGGGATTGGGGGATTTTGGTATTGCTTTTTAATTTCTTATTCCTTGAGGAACTATTGTAAATGCACGTGTTTTTTTTTTTTTTGACTTCGGCACTACCATCTGGGCAGTTACACTTTTAGTTATAAACTATTTATAGGGAAATATTTTGAGAAAAAATATTTGTTCTTTAAGACATGATGTACATCACAGCAAGAAATTCAAGATTTATGTATTTTTATTTCTTTCTGACATATAAGTAGAATGATAGTAAGAGAAGGGGAAACTGAGAATTGCATCCTAGGTAATGATTTAAAGAGAAGGGGCTAGAAAATAGCCTAGAACCTTGAACTTTGCGGGAAGGTTTCTCTGTTTTCAGAGGGAAGGGGAATGATTCCTCTAGACAAGTGCTGAAAATGAGTGTAAAGGAAACATCCAGTAAAGCTGCAGATTCTCATGTAACAGTGGTGAAAAACTGACAACAAATTGGGTGTTCTGTCTTGCAAGATGACAAATGCATGGGAGACTTTTTTGTTGTTTGTGATTACATGTTGGCATCAGTCTTATCTGCAAAGATACTTTTTTTTTTAACCTGCCTGGAAAATTCACTTGCACAAAATGTTCAGTGAAATTTCTTCTGTGTTTATTGTCTATGATGTCACTTAAAAATTTAGTAGTCAAACTGTATGTCTTGTTGTTTTTTTTTTTTTTTGGTTTGTTTGCTTTCTAAAAGCCAACATAGAGCATCTGGTTTTGCCATGTCATCCAGAACAGGATCATCATTTTCCTCTGGCTCTCATAGGTGACAGTTGTGAAAACCACAAAGTTCACAAGCATCTTGTTAGTTTTTTTGTTTCCATTTTTTTCCAGACACCTGCCTAGTAAAAAGCTATGCATTAAAACGTCAAAAATTTTAGGGTACTTGATATTTTCACTCATAATCAACCCTGTAATGACTGACTGCCCTTGTCATTCATGCCTGCGTGTCTCAAAGTAAATCAGATCATCAGAAAATTCAGGTTGGAAGGGGACTGCAGGAAGTCACCTGGTCCAACTTCCTTCTCAAAGTATATGTTAGCATTCCCATTTTACAATGCAAGAAACGAAGGTACAGGCTTTAAGAGCCTTTTTGTTTAACTTCATGCAGATAATCCAGAGCAGTCAAGCTCCTCTTTTCTGTAACTGCAAGCAAGATCATCCTTCCTCTGAGGGATGGGCATTTCTTCCCTGACAGGGTGGAAAAGAGAATGAATAAATGTCTTTAATACCTCATTAGAATTAATTATGACGCTAGTTTTGAGAATGATCGGAAATGTGTTCGTTTGCAAAGGTTTCTTATGAAATAGTTAATTGTGAACAGATAAATGGTCTTACGTACCTATGAGAAATTTTTTGCATGTCTTCAGGCATGCAGGTCAAGGTGCCATTGTTAGCAGATTTAGAAAAGGAAGTAAAAAACAAACCTAAAGTCTAAATTCAAGAGTATGATAAGCATTTTGGTTGCTTGTGCTACTGTTTGGAAGACGAATTTAACGCTCCCTTAGAATTGGAGGTGACTTGTTGGCCCGTATGTCTGAAATCGACAGGAAGAGCTCTAAAAACCTTTGCTCGGGGAACTTACTAAATATTTGTTGATATAATGAAGGGAATACCCAGTTTCTCTACAACACAGTTTGATCTTTAAAAAACATATTCTCTGAAGTATAGAGGCGTGTAAGGGCAGGCATTTGACGTTTTCCTGCGTCTTTCCAAGCCCCTTCCAGTCTTCTCTGTAGGACTGCGCTGATGCAGCTGCACATTCGTGTGGTGCCAGGAGTTGGACTCAATGATCCTTATAGGTCCCTTCCAACTCGGGATATTTTATGATTCTATGATTCCCTCAGGTGAATTCCTCCTCCGTTCGCCCCCTGGCAGGGTTGGCTGGGCAGCTTTCTCCCACTTTGACCAGAGCGCCCACCTCCCTCTGCAGCTTGCTGATGACCTTAACAGATGACTTGTCCTGTCCAGTTGTGGAAGACCATCTTGTGATAATCAGGTGATGTTCATGAATGTGTGGGAGAGTTAGAGATCAATCACAGAATGGATGAGGTTGGAAGGGACCTCTGAAGATCATCTAGTCCAACCCCATGTGATCTTCCCATGCATTTGCTCTTTGGAACAAACTCAGCTGGTGTTTTGAAGTAGAAAAATGCCATGGAAATGAAGTTTGATGTTTGTTTTGAAACCTTGATGGAGCTGAGGAGGTTATCTACTTTAATTCAGATGCCCAAGCAAAGGGTAAAGTTAAGTTTTAATGAAGTGATTTGGAGACAGAAGGTTGTCATACTGCAGAATCCTCATTAACAGAAGCATATGAATGTTCTGGAAAAGGGTCTGCAGAAGAGCTGGTAACATGAATAAATATCCTTCACTTTGACCATTAAATGAAGCGAAGTCCATCCCATCTCATCTGTTCTTAAGGATACCAATGAATATGAATGAAAATTTTTGTGAAGCACTGTATCCAAAATAACCAACAGCTCAGAAAATATTGGCACAATAAATATTTCTTCTCAGACGTTCAGCTGCAGTGGTGCTGCAGTGCTTTAATTATTGCTTACAGACTCCAACGTTTTAAGGATGTGAAAATATTTTATCGCTCTCCCTGGCATCTCAGGTGCTTCATACTAAGGTGTGCTGAAATTAGTGTAGATGGAAGTGTAGAGAGGGGACGCTCTGGTGGCCGTGTCATGTGCATGTGTGGGAAAAACAGGAATCCAATGGAAAACGTGGACACTAAAATTTTGTTTTTCAATGAAATCTGCAGCGAAGGGATAGATCTGTAGCAATTAACAGCCTAGCAGTTACAGACTTTCCTGGAGGGTGGAAGGTGAGGGTTTAGGTTTTTCTATTGCATTTGGAAGGACGCCATGGATGTGTCGGGGAGGGGGGTGTCGTAACCATCGCATTCCTGGCACGGTTGGGGTGCTTCAGAGGGCAGGTCTTCAGAGGCCTAGCATTGGGATGAATGTAGCAGATCTGGCTTTGGTATTTTGTTACAGTCCAGAGAATTTCAATACGTAAATGCAAACTGATTTTTTTTTTTTAAGTTCAGTGTTTTCAGTTTTTATTTAATCTTGCATTGTAACTGTAGAACTTACAGCGCATACTACAGACACTGCATTGGAAGTGTCTGCTGAACTAAAATAGGAGATTAAGAGGTTGTTGTGTTTTTTTTTGTTTTTGTTTTTTAATTTTTTTTTTTAAAGATTTTTTATGTTTGGGAATGCAAAAATGAAATATGAGATAAACAGCATTAAGTCTTTCCCTTTTCAGATCCCTTCATCATCATTTGCTCATTTTGAACAAAAACCAAGTTATATAGCTTTCCTACTTTTGAAGCTCAGATGAGTGCAAGTGAAACCGTTCAGCTTGAGTAAATGATTTGTTTAATATAAGGAAATTTGAATTCCTCGCTTTTCCTTTCCAAGTTTAAATTTAATCAGTAGTTTTAGTGTCTGCAGGACTGGAGTCTTGGAGAAAGCAGTCTGAAAACTCAACTATAAACTGCAATTATCTCTGAGAATTGAGGTTTTATCTACACAGTAGAGGAAAATATGCTTTAGATTGGCTTACTGTTCAAACGTAAGTGATCAAACACAGAACAGATCCCTAGGATCTGAGTAGTGAAAGGTCATTTACTAAAAAGAGAGAGGTGTCACAGAGGGAATAATAGCATTGCATTTCAGGCAGAAGCAAGCACGGGTCTGCTGGTGTTTGGGGCAGCTCCATCTGCAGAGGTCAGATGCAATCAAAGACGATGTCCCCAGTAGGCTGCGGTGTACAAGTTAACAGAACCTTTTCACTCATTTATATTTTCATCAGTTACTTACCACAATCCACGCTTACTCCCAAAGCACGTTGGTAAGGAAGATGAGGCAGCTGTGAGCAAGGGAGTCAGGGCATGGGGAGCAAGCTCGTGCCTCGCAGAGATGGACAGCAAGGGATGAAGTTTCCTTTTTTCGAGTAAAATGTAAGGCGAAATGTCTGGAAATAACGATGGGGTTAAAACTCCTTTTTAGACAGCTGTGTTTTGACCAGCTGTATCTGGAAACTCTTCATAACTTTTATGTATTACTTAGAAGGGCTGTCTTTTCTGGTGTCGCAGAAAGGAGTAACTTGAAACATCCAGAAGGATTAAAGAATCAAAGTGGGCAGGCATCACTCCTGTCCCCCTGCTGGGTGGGAGTATTTTAGTAATTCCATTTTTACTAACCTTCTGCTAGAAAATCTGAAAATACTGTGAAGTTTGTATTACCTCCTTGCCATGTCTTTTACCCTCTCCCCAGTCCTCCTGTATCGTATGTCCAACAAAAAAATGAAAGAAACCCAAACTTTCCAAATGGTTGAACTTTACTATGTCATTTGTGCTCTTAAAGGAAAAGCCAAAGCTAAACCTCATCTGCTCAAGTACTTCCTACAGTGAGGAAATAGGTA